AGTAGTATGGCCAGGAGCCCCTAGTAGCGTCCTTGCTCCTAGTAGTAAGGCCAGGAGCCCCTAGTAGCGTCCTTGCTCCTAGTAGTATGGCCAGGAGCCCTTAGTAGCGTCCTTGCTCCTAGTAGTATGGCCAGGAGCCCCTAGTAGAGGGCGGAAAGATCATCAACGGCTTTGCACAAACCCTGGACCTGTCGAGGTGACAGCTGCCCAGCGTGCCCCAGATCGAGCAGCAAGTCCTGGTGTTGGCACTACGAATCTTTCAAGTGCATTTGACCAGTCTGAGCACATCCGACTGAAATGTGCTTTCTCTGTTTTTCAGCGCTGTTCTGCACGTTCCCTTTCACGTTCTAAAGCGGGGCCTCGCTGCAGGTTTTTCTGCAGATCAGCCAAAGGATCGCTCCGACGGAAGGCATCTGTTGCAATGGCCAAGTCCATCAAGGTACTGCCTTCGCCAGGCTTCTTCCCAGTCATGAGGTCTTGCACATAAGATTCGCGAGGCGCTTCTGCAGGGTGATTTTGGAGGAAATCTTGGAACCATCCAATGGCCTTGTCAGGCCAACCACGAACTTCCCGAATCCATCCAAAGTCACGGGCATACCTGGTACAGTTGTAAACATCACCATCAACAAAGCCGAGTGCCAAGTTCTTCCCAGAAGCTTCATCAGCCAAAATGTTTAATCGATCGCAACCATCACGCCAGTACGTCTCTGCAACCTCCGCCTCCCCCTTGTGCCAAGCAAGGGCCACCATTGCCAAGCGCGCATCAGAATCCGCCTGGACGACCTGCTGCAAGAGGCCCATGTCACGGCTCATGAGACCCACTGAGCGGCGGATCACTCCAGTGAAGGCTTCTTCTGCTTTGGAGAGATCCTCTGTCCCCATCAACGCCACCGCACTGCGCTCGGCCTCGATCTCGGCCTCCGGCCGCCGGCCAGCGCTGCGTAGCAGCTCCGCCGCAGCGTCGAAGTCCTCCGCCGCGGCCGAGGGCTGCCCCAAGCCCACCTTGGCCTGCGCTCTGCCCGAGAGCAGTTCGAAATCGGGCTCTCCGAAGAGGTCAGCTGCTTGATCATAATCCTGGAGTGCCTCTGCCCACCGTTGCAAGGACCTGAGAGCCCCTCCCCGAGCAACCAAGACCTTGGGCATCTCATCGTATTGGACCAAAGGATCCGACGCCGCTTGACGGCAAAGCTTGAGCGCTTCGTCCAGATCCACCAGGGCTTCCTGCGCTCGTCCTGCTCGAAGCCGCACATAAGCACGGCGTCTGAGGATAGCTGGGAGCTCGTTGGGAGCGACCGAGAAGCTTCGCCAGCGCCGGAGCAACTCATTGAGCTCCTCCTCAGCGTTGCTCAATGCAGCCTTCGAAGGGAAATCGCCAATCCTGCGTACAGAGGAAAGAGCATTTTGCATCAACGCCACATCTTCTTCGCTTGGCCCAGCGCCTGCTGCCCATACTGGGCGTGCCAAAAGCAACGGAACAGGGGCAAGTAGCCGGCGTGGCACCACCCAGCAGAGACCAGAGCCCACTAAAGCCAAAAGCCAAAGGCCGCGTCGAACCATGTGAGAGGCGGAAACGGACAATATGGAAGATGTATGTATAAATTTGCAGTGCATAATATGTCATGAGACGCCCTACTGTGATACAGTCTTTCGTCTGTTTGTCGTGAGTGTGATCTGCAGGAAGTGTTATGCTTTTTGAGAAAGCTCACTCTTTTTGATGAGAAGTCACCAGTTTTGTCCTTTGAAGTGTGCTGTGTGATTGCACAGTGGCCGTATTTCGATGCACCCAAATTCCTTGATCTGAGCTGCACACGAAGGATCATGTGCTTTGGGGCGCAGGTCAGCCTGGTCAGAAGCCACAGCTCAGTGATCGAGAACTGCTTCTCCCCACATGGATGATACTGTAAAGGTTTCCATGTGTGAGGTATTCTCAACTTATCTTGCAAACATGCAGGCGGTACCTCCTAAAGCAGCGAATGCGTGGAGCTTGAGCAGCAGACAGTTGCATCAAACAGTGAGACTCTGATTGAAATGTTCTTAGGTCGAGGAAAGCTGAGAATCGACTCTACAACCGCCACCGATGCCTTCTGTCCTTTCCCGGATTCCGGCCCGAGGATAAGGGAATGTCTGGTCCTATGTCGCAAATCTTCTTCAACAGTGCAGACCAAGAGGTAACATGCTGGGGATGGGTTGGAACAAGCATCCAATCCTCAGCGTCCACCACGTTGGTCCAGGACGAAACATGCAACTCTCGATCGATTGCCTCTCTTCTCCAATCAGACACAGAAGCATCCGAGAACCCTTCCAAAGCACAGCTGGACAGCTGCGACAATTCCAGAGCAGGAAAAGCAAAGACTTGCTCTCCACATTCCCAGCTGATTTGGCTCGAAATGTCCGGGGATTGCCACACATGTCCTTCAAGCCAACAAAACAACCGGGCCAAAAAGCCCCTGGCCAAAGCATTCTTGCTTGATGGGCGGAACTTGACAGTCACCTTCGCCTTATCTCGCGCCAACGCCAATTGCGCAACCTTCCGAAGAAGCTGCAGTTCAACTCCTCGGTGCAGCACTCGGCAACTCATGGCCAGGCAGTCCACAACTACAGAGTCTTCCTCCAGAGAGCAAAACACACCAGCCACCAAGCCATAGTCCCCAAATTTGTCTTTCACCTGCGCGGCAAAAACACTTCGAAGCTCATTGTTGCACCACATACTTATTTCAAGTTCACTCAAGCGCAGCTGGGTAGTGTTGAATTGGTTTGTTTTTGCACACAGCTGACACAGTCGCGATACGTATCGATACGCGTCGTTCTGGTTTGGCTCGTGGATCACAACTTCCACTTCCAAGGAGTCCAGAAAGTCGGTCAAGCTTCTGTGGCGCTCTCTCTCAGCACGCCGCGCTGCATTCTGTCGGTACAATTCAGTCCTGTCCTGGTCTTCTTTGGTTGGAGTGCCTTGAAAGGCATCCAGCAACCAACAGTGTTGAACCAGGCGATCAAATTCAGCATGGTCCGCGGGAATGTGGACCGTGATAACATCAGGCAAGCTCTGGCGAACATCTTCAACTTCAAAACAGTTGTCGTCCAAGAAAACAAAGGAGTCCAAAGTAAGGCTCAGTAGAGTTGAGAGTCTTTGAAGGGATTGCGGCTTCGGCCCTGGATGCACTTCGTACGCGACTATTTGCTCCAGTTGTAACGGGCACTCCTTCTTTCGATCTACAAAAACCTGTAGAACTTCTGTAGCAGATGCATTTCTTGAAGCAATGCAAATCAAACGTCCAGCTTTCTGCAAAGCTGCCAGTCTTCTCTGGAGCCCAACATGTGGAGCAGCTAGCTTCACCCCTTGCACACCATCTTCAGCGACAACCCCCTCCCAAAGAGTGTGATCACAATCGGCCACAAAAACCTTCAGCCTGTTGCTCAAAAGCGCAGCAGTGCGGTGACGAATAATTAATGCACAGGCTGCCGCCAGCGGCTCAGAAGTTGCACATGGATACAACTCAACAAGGGCCGGCCAGTTGATGAATTCACAAAGGTTTATATTTTGTAAGCCTTCCTTCAAAATATCCGATGCCTGCCTCTCGTCGCAGCTTCGGCACTCTTTGATCTGAAGAAACATCAAGACATGCCCTGCTGAGCATGCAGACTTTGCAGCATTAATAACGTCAAAAACCTCCTTTGCAGGGTTTGCACTGCTTAAGCAAGCGCGGCACAAGTCTTGAGGTTGCCAGAGAACAACACCAATCGGCACACGCCTGAGAAAGTGTCTTTTGCCCTGGAGCAATTTGCAGATTTCTGAGGTGCCATTCTTCTCGCTGAAACGAAAATTTAAGTGCACGTTTGCTTCATCGAACACTGTTTGCCATTGGGAAATGAGCTCTGCGAGCTGAACCTCCAAACTGGCAAAGGTTCCTACAACGGCTACTGCAATCTCCTCCTTCGCCGAAGCCGGACGTGATGGATGTCCACGGCTTTCGCGCACGCTTGCGAAGCGCTCAGAGCCATTCCCGTCAGAGTATTCCAACTGCCCAACTTGCACTAGGTTCTGAGCCACAGGCCTTGGTACCCATGCAAAGCCAAAGCCCAAGCCTACACCAGAGGACGACGAGCCTTTCGTGTGAAAGCGAAAGCAAACATCTTTGGGACAAATGTCAAGCACTCCAAGGTCTACACTGACTTTCGCAATTGCAACAGCCAGTTCCTTCTCTGCTTCTTTCAGCTGGTCTGGATCATGGGGCAAATTCCCCAACCAAATAGGGATGAAGGAAGCGTCGTTTGCCGTGAAAGCCATACCACTCTGCACTCTATGCACTCAACTGCACTGAGCTCCAGTCACAACGGATTGATCATTCCCAAGACAAGCCTCTTGACAAAATGTGGGTTTGGTGACAAGGCGGCCCATCTTTTTGAACCTTGAAGTCAAAAATGCTGCAATGCTGCTTTTGAATATTTACAGCAATTCGTTGCTTCAAGCCAAGCAATACCAGAAAGAAACGCATGTGCCAATGCTGCCAATAGGGAGGAATGCAATCTGTCTTTCTTTCTGAAACAATTCAGGTCTAGGGCGCCCTCTCAGGAGGGCCAACATTGGACTCTGCTGAGGGAGGGCTTTTCCCAAGTCATTTCGGCTGATCACCTTCTTGGTCTCCGACCAGCAGCACAGCTCCAGAAATACCCTTGACATCCATCAGGCAATCATGGGCTTTTCCTCCCATGCCACCTCTAACGTTTTTGCTGACAGCTCATCTTCTTTCGAGTAGTGACCACCAGGTACTCCTGAGACACCCCACGCTCAGAATGCTTGTATGCAGAAGGTCGCTTCATGATACAAAGATTCTAAAACGCACTCTGCGCTCCTACAGGAGGATAGTCAAGGTATCTTTCCAGAGCAATCACAACCGGCTGAAGGACATCTGCATAAAGTACCTGCTTGGTTGCAGACTGGAGGAACACACGCAACGCTATTGATTCATGTACAGTACAGTATATCAAGTTCCAGCACAAGCATCCCATGTAAGGTTCTTCAAAGCCATCTTGCTGACCTTGGCCCGCTCGCATTGCTGCCTCATGAAGCGGCTCATGCCTGGGGAAGCCAAGGTGTAAATGATCAAACCTCAGTGCAATTGAAGCAACCAAACTCCGCAATAAATGAGCTGCGTCTAGGGTGCAACCAACTTCACAGCTTGCATCAAGGAACTCCTCCGTTTCAAAGCTTCTTGGACGATATGGTCAATCTCCTTGCAGGTGCAAACGGTTTGCTAGACATAGTCAACAAACTTAGCGCTCATGTTCATCCCGCATTCGTGCAGGTCCAAGCGGAAATATCCATGAAGAATAAGTTTGGACCCTGTGGCCTGCAAGGACTTTATCCCAGGGCAACAGGTGATGCCAGTCAGCTTTACATTGGGGAACTGCTTGAAAGCCTGCCAGGCAGCATAATTTCAAGAATCAGTGCTCAACAATGAATCTGTGAAATGAAAAATCGAAAGCTTCTAGACTTCTAGCAAAGTTGTAGGGAACTGTTGTTGTCTCATGATTCAGGGTCAAATATCAATCTTATGGACTCAAATAGAGCTATCCTGCGAGCGGAGGTTGCGACTACAAAAGGAAAACAACCCCCTTTATCTGCGCCTTGCATGCTATCCGATATGAAGCCTCTGCTGAGGTATCGGACACTGCAAAGATGGTTTCACATGGCTCATCAGGCACATCTTCAGAGCCTCATCTGTGCCATGTTCTTGCTTTGAACTACGACATATTCAAACCAAAGAATGCAAAAGAAAGCGTCCCCCTTTTCAATGTCTTCAGCCTGACATGCCGCATTGCTGTCGTTTACACCCGCTTCGGCATTGTTTCTCTCAATTGCAGCCGGGGTGCCTCGAGGCAGCTGCAAACGCTGCTCGATGGCCAAGATCGCCTCCGAGTGATTCAAACTTACTAATCACCTTTAAAGCAGGCAATTTTGAAGCAAAAGGTTTGAAAATTATGTGTATGTATATATATATATTGTATTCAAAAAGGACACCAAAGCAGTCCAAGATGCACTTTCCATGAAGTTGATACAAGGAACCTCAAAGACATATTCAGGACAACAGCCCAGCATTCTCCTACTTCATTGTCCAATTCTGACTCAGCATTTCTTGCGAGCTTGAATAGTTGCAGTTTCTGGATCCATAACCTTTGCTATCATGAATCAAGAAGTGGTGTGTGAATATGCAGCCGTGCTACACCTTGTCGTCCACATTCAGACACCAAGAAATTTGCCAAGGAAATGTTCGCTAGTGAGAAGACCACCATGGCTCCTGCCTGCCTGGAAGAACTATGATCGGAAATAGGAATGAGTGGACACACAGTACTGATTATTGTTTCTTTTTGTCTTAACTCTGTTCACCAAGTCATGTTTCCATTGAGAAGAGCCTTGCAACAACACTGAGTTTGATCTCCAAGCTGCTCAATGGCCAGCGACTCCTCGGGAGCCAATGTGGCTGCCTGCAATTGTCAGTTCAAAGACTTCACTCAAGTCAGTGCAAAGACATCACGATACGATCCTTGAATTGTCAGTTATAGTGTTTAGAAATTCAACCAACTTAAATCGCAGTTGACAAGGTGCCTTGTCAACCGCTGCCTTCACGTCTTCTTCTGTCTTGACCCCGTCCACCACCTCAACAATGGACCTTGTTATGTCACCTTGGAGTCGTGGCAACGGCGATGGCCAAGCAAATACTCACAAAAACTGCATTGATTCACTTGAACCACTTGCTGTTGGCTTCTTGCAAGTGAGAAACCGAACTGTCTAAAGCCCATCCTGATTGATCATAGACAATCAAGCGAGCAGCATTCAAAAGAGCACAGCGCGGCCTCGCCACCAAGTTGGCAACCACTCCAGGCCCATCGGAGATTGCAAAGATCGGCTTTGGGGTGACGTCCTTCCACGTAGAAAGGATTTCCCAACAGAGCAAAACTCTGCTAAATGTCCAGAATGCTGCTTCCTCTGACCACGGTGCAACGGCTATCGTGCGTGTAGCGGCAAAAATCCTCGGATCAATAACTGCACCGCTGCAGCCGCTACAAAAATAATCCAAAGAATTCTGCTGTAGTCCTCTTTTTTACAGAAAGAAATTCAAATTGTTTCACCTGAATGTTCCCACTCAAAGCATCAAAATACGCAGCAGCAACATCCGTTGCTCTGCCAAGGCACTTCGCATCCTTCAGCGTTGCTCCAGGTGCCTGGTCCAGGTGGCAGGTAAGTGAAGCAAAACAACAAAAACCAACGAGGCTCTCAACTCACACACACACACAGTGATGATCAGTCCTCCATAGGTCATGGAAACTAAGTCTTGCACAAATGAATTGATCCTCAGCTCGTGGGCCGCAACTTAATTTTGCCCTCATACTGTAAGAAGGCATTCAAGTCCAAGACCCTTCATTCATAAGAATAGAATTTGTCATGTGGATGTCTGCATATCTATATATATACTGTATCTATATATATATATTAGGTAAAAGTCATCCGGTCAGCCATCATACTGAAAACAAACAATTACCTCATGAAATTGTATGAAATGTATTCAACCATATTCAAGCCAAAACTCTGACCTGGCGGCGGCCCTCTAATGTTCTCCCACAAATCATCATCTTCTGCTTCCTGCCATGCCTGGAGCAAATGCTCGTACACCGAACTAAGTGGAGCAAGTTTAGTCCAGCCCCCAGCGCCTTCTTCTCAGCACTTGCCTGCAAACGCTTACAATGCAGTTTCACTTTCACCTCTGTTTGGCGTTCGTGCCTGGAGACCGTGCAGTCTGCGGGAACTTCGGAACTGCCTTCCTGTCAAGACCAAATCCCTTAAGTCTCAGCAACAAGCAATTCAAAAGCGTGGTGACCTGGTTGACGATTCCAATTTGCACGCTTTGCCACCCCAACAGCCAACAATGCTTTGGCGGAGACTGAAGCAACCTGTCACTGACACCAAGGCATGGTGTAATACATTTGATCTCAGAAAACATGACTCAAAAAATTCGTTCCTTGCCACTTGAAAACACATCAAGCCTTCAACTGTCTGTCACATGCCCGCAGCCGGTTTGGCGCCTAAGCTCGGAATGTGAAACTGCCCAGGACCATGATGCAAGTTGAGCCCAGGACCGTGAAATAGACCCCACCGCTTTCTGGAAAATGGCTTCTCAATCTGAATGAAAGTCAAGATTTGATCGATTCCAAAAAAGTGCTCTCGCATCCGGGTCTGTTTTTTTTTGAACAAGTGTTTCGTCATTCAAAACAAATGTCACTTTGGGGTGTTCCTTCCCCACGTTACGAAAAAATATAAAAACTCGAAGGACCTTTCTCCATGCAATATTCGCACCTTGCAAGCCCAGCAAACGCAGTGACTGTCGCCATGGTTGTAAAGGACCACGTATTACCAATTTTGCTTGCAAATTGTTCAACAACCGGCTCTTGAAAAGCAAGGTCAAAGTGCACGAGGTATGGTTGAAATGAATTGCCTAGACTGACTCAGCTAACAAATTCAGGTTAGAAACAAAATTTATCTCCAAGAAGTGCAACCGTCCAAAGGTACTATTGGCTTGCCGTTGCGGAGCAAGCAGCACGGCATGGTCTGACTAATACCAAGACCCTGACAAAGAAATCATTTCACAAACACAACCTAATTGTTGAAAGTTTTCCGTCTGCAAGATGTGTTGGAGTGCGATGGACCGAAGGAATGTTTGACAACCACAAAAATTGATCACTCAAGGCTGCAGTTCCACAACTGCTCAGTTGACTGACCAAAACAAACAATGATCCAAATCAACCGAACAAGTGGCTGAACTGGTAGTTGTTTTGAATCATTGGCTTCGTTTATTAAAAAACGAAATGCATCGTTTTGCAAGAACATAGAACGGATACGAAATCAAAAATGGAACCATAGTCCCAAAAGCGGTGAGCGCACTGTTCGCTCTATTTGAGCCTCTGGCAGTATCTGTGCAATTCTCGGTTTGTACAATGACACATGCACTTCTCTCTCTCTCTCTCTCATCTATACATGTGCGTGTCATCCTTGTGCAGGATGGTCATGTTACGTTTCACAACCTGCCTTAAGAATCCTTCGAATCATGGATCGTTACTTCTAACATTCTGAATTCTCAGTTCGTGAAACACTCTCATGAGATCGTCACATTGGTGGACAGTTGCACTGATTACACCATCTTAATAATGTTCGTGTGCAGTGCCCTCATTCTCGTCTTCTTGTGGTGTTGGACTTGAACTGGCTGCACTCGGCTGTGACACAAGAACAGCCGACCCAGTTCATCACAATTCTTTTAATGCAAAATATGACTGTCAACCTGCTGTTCATACGTAGTCATTTGCTTCTGTTCCTGAAGCTTCACGTCTCTCCACGCGCCCATTTCTTTGAGGATCATTCTCACCTTCTGTTTTTTTCTGCATCAACCTCAACAGCCTCTATTATTCTTCATTGCGTGACGTTGTCAGGCTCCAAGTGGTTTACATCTTGGTCAAGCCCTAGGCAGCATCGCAACAAAAACTCGAAACGCTTCTGAAAGGCAGCGCATCACCTGCAATGTGTGCATCTTGCAGACACTTTGCATTCGTTCCTTGCATTCCTTGCATTCCTTGCATTGAAAGCCCAATATCACTTATCAAAGATCTTTGTGTCGTGCAGGTTTTCTTGTCCCTCGTAATGCGCAATCGGATCACGCCCAGCGTCGCTAAACAACAGGGAAGTGTCTGAAGGATCAGGCCTTCAAGTGCTTCGAAGGTGACAAGAAAGGTGAAAGAGGAACTGAAGGTAAAACAAACCCGGCTCTCAAAACATGGGGTGGTTGCAGGTCAGAGTGTCTTTTGAATTTCCTTTGACTTCATCACTTCATCCGATGTCGTCAGACCTCCAAAGTTTTACAGTTCACGAAGCCTGCCTTATTCTTGCAATTTCCACAACAGAGATGGCAAAGGAAGTGCTAAACAACCACGAAACAAATGCACGGACTAAAGAGTACACAAAAATATCGGCACATTTGCGGGTGTTTTTCGTCAACACATGCACAAAATGCACGCATTGTTTGGCATACTTTCATGCATTGCACTCATCCTTACCAATGCTATATTGCAAAATTGAGAGTGAAGAAAAGTGAAGCGGAGGGTGGGCAACCCACTCTCTTGATGTGGTTCAAAGCTCTGGTGGCAGCAATTGACGACCTGGCCCTCCAGAGTTGAGAAGGGAATCTTGGAGCGACAACAGTGTATGTAGGCCTACCTGTTGCGAGAATTGCATTGGAAGGTCCCTCCGCTGTGCAAGTTGCAAAGTTGCATTGTTTGATGTTACAGTTGTCAGGTCCAAGCGTATCAGTGTAGGAATCGTTGCCGCAAAATCCGTACGCTTGCGTGTTGTTCTCGTTCAAGAGAGCATGACGGACTTGCTGCACCAAATGGACACTGAGTTTGCTTGTTTTGTTCCCATGGTCACCATGCTGCATGATCCTGCCGAGGTTTTTCTTTTCAGCAACGTAAGGCCTGACCTCAATACGAGAAAAATGATCCATGATCCAACCAAAACTGTTTCAGTGTCTTTCACTGTTGACAAGTTGGCCATCCTTTTGAGAGGCCTTCACAGCTCTAGTAGGTGAGTATGCCCAAGTGCGCTCTCTTGGTGAACCGTGTCGTATACCAATCTATTCCAGAAATTGTCCCCTTAAGGAAGAGACGTTGGGCCTGACCCGCACACGCTCTTTGAGGGAAAAAGGCACCAAGGTGAAACGAGTGATGCCAATGGCAACCACGGCTCTCAAATGCTGTCCTGTCCAAAGTGGTCTCTTGCAGAGTTAGGACCGACATCATTGGCATCACTGATATCAGTGCCAGTGCAGGATGTCAATGTGAGATGTAGGAAGCAGCATCGTATCACCGATGTTGTGTTGTTGGCAACATGTACTGCGCAAACCTGGCTGACTTCTAAGCAAAGGTGGGTCGTGATTTCTGGAGTCTCGAGCAAGAGCTGCGCTTTGGCATCTGATGTTGTCTTTGGAAGTGTTTTTTGCTACGAGATTGTTAACCTTTTCTAGCCTACTAGTTGGCCTACGTGATAGGAACAGTTGTCACTGAGTTGACTTGTGTAGTATCTGTTCTTATCGATGGATCGTCGTAGCGCGTGTGGTTCAAAAGGGTCCGCTGCTTAACATGGTAGCGGAGCTCTGATGATCCTGGGCTAAGTCCCGGGTGAGGAGCTCGGGGCGGACGCGTCGGTGGGGCGCGATGGACTGGAGAGCAACCTGCCTCAGTGGTGCATGGATGCTGTTGTTGAATTTTTGTTGTTGGTGGAGGTTGATGGAAGTTTTTGGTGGAACCACCACCCTTTCAGAAGCTGTGGATTACAGTTGTTGGCTTTGCATTGATTTCGTATTGATGTTGGAGTTGCAAGCCATTTCGTGCACGCTTGTTTTGACAGAGTGGAGTCGAACATTGCTGTGGGGGCCTCAATGGGAACACGTACTTGAAGCTGTTTTGACATTGTCACAGTGGAGGTATTGTTGGTGCTTCATTGCAACCATTGGGAGTTTTTTAGTGGCGGCTTGTTTTGTCCACAGATGCAGAACGCGCTTGAGCCTCAGGAGAAAGCATACATTGCAGTTGAAGAAACGTTGGAGTACAAACTTGAGGAAAGCACGATTTACATACAAGTTGAGGTCCAAAGGATTGTTCTTTTTGGTTTTGATGCATTGCAGCTACGGAGTACAGGCAATGGATGGGCAACAGATGCAACAATTTTTGACAGGGATTGGTGCCTTGTTGACAAAGCAGGATCAAGTGTTGCAAAACGTGGTTGAGAATTTGGGTACAGGTTCATCTTCAGCCACGGCCTCAGTGGCCAAGTCATTGGAGTCAGCGGCACGGATCTTGAAGACGCCTGAACATTTCGATGCAAGTGACACGATGTCCTGGGTGACTTGGCGACACAGTTTCCTTAATTGGTTGTCCTACGCAGACAGTCGATTTTTGGACAACATCATGCAGGTTGAGAAACTGTCGCCTTCAGACTCAGTCGAAACGGTGGACTGGGATGCTGCTGAGTGGGACCTAGCAAGGAAACTATATGCGGTGTTAACCAGCTATCTCAAGGGAACAGCCTTGCAGCTTTCCAGGTCAGGTTCCGAGGAGAGAAACGGGTATGCATTGTGGAAGACTCTCATGGATCACTTCGCACCTGCAACCCGTCAAAGAGCTCTAGCTTTGAGTCAGGCCATAGCGTCGTACCCTCAGTTCAAACCTGCAGCTGGGAAAACGCTACAAGAACACATCATGGCCATGGAAGCTTTGGTGCAACAGTACGACTCATTGCATTCCAAACCTTTTGACAGAGAAGTTTTGCTTGGAGTTTTGATGCGACTATGTCCTGAAGGGATTAGGCAGCACTTGACGTTGAGCATTTCAGACACCACATCGTACCAGGAGGTCCGGGAGAGAATTCTGGCCTATGAACGGAGTTCACGACTTTGGAGTGTTGAAGACATTGTGAAGTCGACCACGAAACAAACAGACAACATGGGATTGGCACCCATGGAAGTCGACCAGGTGTCCAAAGGAAAGGGCAAAGGCAAAGGAAAAGGAAAGTCGAAAAGCAAAGGAAAAGGAAATTGGTCAGATGCCTGGAGTTGGGCTAGTTCGTGGTGCAAGGGAGGAGGAAAACAGAAAGGAAAGACCAGAGATAAAGGAAAGGGCAAGAGCAAAGGAAAGTCCAAAGGAAAGAACAAAGGAAAAGGGAAACAGAAGGGCAAGCTGAACCCGGATAGGTGCCGGGTATGTGGTGGCTTCGGCCACTGGGGCAATGAATGCCCTAACAAACAAGATGGTGTCCGGGAGGTCAGAGAGTCCGGACAACAACAAACAGTTCCTTTCGAGACTCGTGTTCCTTCAAGCAGTTCAACGGCATACAGTTCTGTTGGGAGCACGGCTGCATCGACGCAACGGTCGGTTCGCAGGGTTCAGATGTACCATGTCGGTACTCCTCCTCTCCAAGTTCCAGAACAGTTCAATATCTCGGAGGTTGATTCAGAAGAGGAAGATTGGTCAACATTGACGATTCTTCAGGGACAGGTTCGAGCAGTGAAAGCATGTGGTGATGAGTGTTGGTCGAGTGGCCAGGTGACAGGAAGTGCATGTGAGCAGTACAACATATTTGATGCTGAAGATTTGTCATGTGGAGTTGAGTGGCCAGCGGACGACGCGTTCTACTGGTGGCTGAGCTCAGATCAGGAGACAAGTTTTGAGCGGGAAGCAACAAAGCAAGAACAAGAGAAAATGTTTGTGAGAGTGGTTGAAAATGTTGAGGAAAGCGAATGGATAGTGCTAGATTCCGGAGCTGACGTTTCATTGCTGCCCTACAGGTG